CAACATTTTAGTGAGTGGTTATTCTTTGGAAAACCTTCCAGTGGGCCATTCTATGAACGTATGATCGAGTCACGTAAGATATTTTAGACTGAGATGGTGTCAGCGCCATATCAGAATGGACCAAATAGCCACGCATAAGGTGACTTTAAGAGATTCTGGAAAGCCACCAACAAGCTAATGAACCGATTTTGATAAAATTTTTTACGAGAACTCTATGTAAAATGTATATACTGTCAGATACAATAGTATGAATTTAAAATTAAATCATGAATAGCATTTGAGAACTGACTCGCAATGCTATTCAATGTATGTAAGTCACTCGTATTTGCCTCCAGATTTGACAAACAAAAACAAGAAATATGTCAGATAAATCAAATTATAGACCCATTTCCTTGGCAATATTATGAAGGTGTTTGATAGTGTGCTGAACTATTACTTACATAATCATATAAACCTTCATGACGGACAGTTTGGTTTTTTGTCTTATATTTAGGCACACTGTCAAATATTATACTGACAGACAGACTGGTTTATGCCTGTTTTCTAGATCTCTGCTTTCGATATGGTGTCGTATGACGTTTTATGGCGAAATTAAATGATAGCACCAGAGTTGAGTTTTTAAAGTACCTTGAACATGAATCGTTGAGATGGGCAGATGAGTCGGAGCCATACAGACTGGAGAGTGGGGTGAGACAGGAGGGTTAAGCTCACCTTTACTTTTTAACATACATGGATTCACTGAACTCAGTGGCATGCGCGTTGGTGTTACGTGGGTTTGTGTTAATAACTACTATGCTGATGACATGGTGTTGCTGGCTCCCTCGGTCGCATTAAGAAAACTGGTGTGTGGATCGTATGCTATTTCACACGGTTTGATATACAATGTAAAGAAAACTTATGGTCTTTCTCCATTGTCCAACATATATACCTCCAGTGTTCCCATCAATTTAAATCTGTTGACCACCAGCCTTAGAGACGATGTAGATATGGAGAGGGAGCGTAGGGCTTTGTCGGTCGAGCCAATATGTTGTCTCGCCGATTTGCGCGATGTACAGATGCAGTAAAAATAACACTATTTAAAGCGTATTGAATCGTTGTATTTGGCGAGTCAGTGGTTCCAATCATGCGAATTTAATAATAGTTTGTACTGTTTTCCGCGCTTCTTAGCCTCAGCGATGTTTGCCGACGCTCGCACAGATAGTTTTGACGCAGTCTGGCGAAAAAAGACAGCTTCGTTTTTACGTCGAATACGCGGGAGGCAGTATCCTGAACATGTTTGTTAATAAAGATAGTCCTCTCGTGAAGAACATTATTAGTAATTAAGTATTAACATAGTTTTTTAATTCTCAAAAATCGAAATAAATAAATAAATAAATAAATAAAAAAAAAGCTCTACCATTGACGTTATAGTGTTTACTGTAAAAAAGGAAAAAAAAAAAAATTTTATATTTATCAGATTCACGAGAAATGTATATTTTCAAGTATTGATTAGGTTTCATAGGAACCGAATCTAAGGCCTCATCTGTTGTCAGCAACAGGTTAAACCTTGCACTACTAGTAAATATAAATGTGTAAACAAACTCTTTAAAGTACGACCTAGACTGTTACAGTTAAATATAGTGTATTTGATACATTTCCTGTGAAACAAAATCAACTGTAGACACGTAACCGTACTAAGTGCAATGTAATCTAATATTTTCAGTCTAGTATGTCTACAAATTAACTCATCACTCGTCGTTGTTTTGTTACTATGAAGTCGACATTTTTCTGCGCAGAAAAATATGCTTGTCCCAATATAATGTGTTTACAAACCATTATAATCTGAAGCGGACAGCTCCGGTGGCACTTTGTTGTTTGAAGGTCTTTATCCTGTGACGTTTCTATTAAAAGTTTTCCACTTATTTCTATTCGAACAACGAGAAACCGGATAAAAAATACGCGAGCTGCGGCTCGGTCCGCCGGCACCAGTACATTAGTATAATGTTCAACGAAATGAACAATGAGAGGGGACACGATTAATACTATTTATTATGTATACATTTCTTAACAAAAAAAAAAATGCGCTTATAAAACAAACAAAGGGAACATTTCTAAAACGTCGTCTCCATTTTTGGATTTGTTTTGTTGCTTTTAATTATGTAGTCAAGCTTTTGTATAGATTTATGGATAATATATACTTTATTGGAGAGCCAATGTGTTGGCAAATAATGCCATTATGCAATAATATTATTTTAAAAAGTTCATTGTACAGTCAAGCATTCGAAAACAATGTCATGTACAGCATCATTGTAAAATGTTGTAGATAGGGGAAAGCATCAGAATTTAAGAAATTTAATATGGGATATTAAAAATTAGTATAGTAAAATGTTGACAAAAAATATCACATACGATAGAGTGACGCATCGAACAATAATGCCGTATATTAATATGTCGTTCATCTCCACATGCTAGAACCTAAATGCAGTTTCAGAGAAATTTCCCCACCGAACGTTTAGGCTGTGCAGTAAGCCCCTGCTGAGGTTTTCCCTATAGACTACAGTATGGGGTTCTTCAAAAAGGGTGTATTAAGGTTTCTTCAGGGTCGACAACACTATTTTACGAGCTGTATGCTGGTTTGCCACCTTTGTTACTTATAAGATATCGGCAATTAATATTCGACTTTTAATTTTGATACAACGTATTTTTTTTTGTTGAACTTAGAATACAAGCTGACGGCCCACCTGATGGAAAGTGGTAACCGTCGCTTATAGACATGAGCAGTACCATGGACATAACAGAGTATATTATTTCGCCCATGATACCCCCCATGCATTGACATTCCTGACGACTCAGGTGTTATTCTTCTGTACCCAGTAAATTCACTGCCATGTCCCACTCTTCAAACTGAAACACAGCCATGCAAACACAACTATTTCACGGTAGAAACACGATTGGAACAGACGTGCCCAAGAAAGAGACTTTTGTATAAAGTCTCCCTCTGGTATTTATTATACAGTATTGTATTGTGAGTAGTTAATACTCGTATTAACAAGTGGCGATATTGATGATTTCTAGCGAGGGCGTCCTACAGTAGCATTGCAGCAACAGGTTCGTGTTACCAATGAAGCTGGCGATACTTATTATTAGATACATATGTCGTAATTGAATCAATTAGGTGCATAGTAATAACCGTTAATGAAAACGATGCTGTATTATTATATAATAATTTTGTGTATATTACATAAATAATTCTGTATATATTTTCTTTATTATCATCATCACCTTATCACACGTTAACTGTCCACTGCTAAATATAGGCATCCCTCTCGGAGGGTTTGACCAGTAGATGCTATGCTTGGGAGGCAGAATGACAACTGCAGTTAGGCGTTGTTAAAGTTTTAAAAGGGACGCTGCTGCCCATCTTTAACAACATTATGGCGCGTGAAAAATTATTATTGTTCGTTATTCGTTATTGAACTTAAAAAGTAAAATTGTGTTTTTGATTTCCGTGCATTGTTTGAGAAAATTACTACACAAGCCTTGGCCACAACTAGGCATTGATGGACTCACGTATGTGTGCCTCGGCTACGCCTGGGCCCACATTTGCACGTTCGTCCATCAATGCCTCAGTTGCTGGCCGCTACAGTAATGTACTATTCTCACTCCTTCTGAACCTATATATATAAATATCATCAAGGCCACATCTACACTTCAACAGGTTGTTCTTTTTTTGTTTGTGTTATAATAATTCCGTCACTTGTAAATGGATTTGAAAAATTCTTTATTATCTAAAAAGATATACCTATTTTCAGATTAGTCTCATAGAAATTTTATTCAAAATAAGTAGGGTTGCCACGATTGAAGTGGATGTTTTTTTTGTACAACAAAATCTTAAATTGTCTTTCAATTGCGGGTGTGTAGGTAAACAGTAGACGATTTGAGGTTGTTATCAGCGGGCGACGAGCGGCTGGCGGCGGGCGGCGGGCGGCGGGCGGCCGCCACGTGCCCGCGCGACCTCGCGGCCGATCGATACCTCGTCAATCGTGCCGCTCGCAATCCCATGTTGATGGCCTCCCGTACGCAACGGATGCGATGTTCCAGCGCACATCTCAATATGTATTTCTCGTTTACCCTTGGAATTGCAGCTGTTTTTTTAGTACCATCTACTACAATAATATTATACACACTCATAACATTTGCATCGTAATATTGATACGTGCTATTGGTTTTTATTCTAATTTTGTACATGTAAAGGTTATATGTTACCACTTCGTGTCTTGATGTCCATAGTTTAAGAATAGTACTCGTACCTACTGTAGGTACTATCCTTTCTACGGTTAATGGCTCAAACAATCATCATGACGTTTCGCACGTAGTATTTGAGATTATACATGTGTTTTTAACACTTGAAGTTACAGTTAGATGTAGTCCTATTATACAGTATGTTATTATTCATCAATACGGTTTAATTTTTGGTTTCAAGAATAAATTTATATTATCGAAAACTAAAAAAAAAATTGAAATTTTCGAAAAATGAACAACCTGTGTTTTACCACTGGCACTACACAGTACATGCACATACAACTTAATATTATACAGTGGCGTTGATACACGTATATAAATTGTTCTTTTTTATAGAAATTCTATTTTTTTTTTACATTTAGTTTTCGATAATATTTATTAATTTATACTTTATTATACACAAAAATTACATTGTTATAATTTATTTTGAATAAAGATGTACTTAAAACAGGCGAGTTTAACTCTTTAAGAATTCTCTTCCAGCAAATCCTGTGTGGAAAGGAGCATTAACTACTAGCGGGCAGTGTGCTTACAATAAGAACCGCTTCTTTATGTAGTTTATAGTGTTTTTTGAGACCATAATTAATGAATACCAATACTGGTTTCAAGGAATCAATTTGATTAAGATACTATATTCGTACCCCTAGACGGGAGGGGGGGGGGGACTCCTGTACTGTAGTGAGTGTTTACATTTGCAAGTAATATGTTGTTGTTCGCAGGATACGCGGACCCACGTGGTGGTGGAACTGTACGAGACAGAGAAGTCGTACGTGGAGGCGCTGGAGATACTTGTCAAGGTACAAATCCGTCACCATAATAACTCATTAACTGTAGATACAATAACAGTGCGGGACTTCTGGGTATCTGAGTATGGGTCGTTCGCCATATAACAAACCTACTGAGGGGAAGGAATTGTTAGTAATGGGGAATTAGTCCCCATTGCTATCGATATACCCTATCAGGTCGACCTCCACGTGGAAACTATCGTGACTAATTTATCGTTATCATTTTCACGATGGGCTAACTGACTTGCCTTTTCATCCTCCCCTATCATCCCTCACTGACCGCCCGCCAGTGTACACCGATAGCGCAAGCAGGGCTATCATGCCATATTTACCCATTAAAAAAAAGAATAAACCTACTATTACAGCGCTAATCGTACGATTTGTATACTGTGTATTGTACATTGTTTCTAAATTGTTTTTTACCATATAATGAGGATAAAAAGAAGCGGTGGCTTTGCTCTCGCATTCATATTTTTTTTATACAACAATTTTATGGAACTTATAAACTTTTTATAGACATGAGCAGTACCATGGACATAACAGAGTACTGTTTCGCCCATGATACCCCCCATGCGTTGCCATTCCTGAGGACTCGGGTGTTATTTCCTTTGTACCCAGTAAATTCACGCCATATCCCACCCTTCATACCGAAATACAGCCATGCAAACAACTTCTTCACGGTTGAAACACGAATGGGACAGAGGTACCCAAACAATCGACTTTTGTACAAAATCTCCTTCTGGTAAACTTCATTCAACTTCGTCACTTCATTGATTATTAGTGGTAGGTATGTAGAATTGCACGGGTACGTTAGTATTTATTTTTAATGGGTGAAAATGGAATGGTAATCCCGTCGCGTCTGCGCTATCGGTATACGCTGGCGGGGTACCAGTGAGGGATGATAGGTGAGAATGAAGTAGGTCAATTAGCTCGCCGTGACCAATCTAACAATAAGTCAATCACGACGGTTTACAGGGGGAATCGCGAGGAGGTCGACCTGACAGGGTATATTGCTAGCAAGGGGGCTACTAAGCCTCATTACTAACAATCACTTCTCCTGTAGGTACTCTTGGTATTGTATTTGTACAGCTGACATTTATTTCACATAAGTAATATTTACTAATCTTGTATCAAGATTAAAAATTGTAAGATTAAAAATTAAAATGATGATGATGGGGAGCGCTCGCGATGGGTTTGCTGATCGATCGCGGACTCGATTGGCTAGGTATTATAAAAGGGTCGCGAGCGCCGCCTGTAATTGCTGACAACAGGAATGAATTTTATATGAGCATGGGGCCGATACTGAGGCGCCATTTCTCTAATTCTATCTCTAAAGCTAAAATTCTAATTTAATATCGCGGCGAAATCTTTGTTGTGATAAATATAATGAACAAATTTTCTAATAGATTTAAGTATTTTTAATGGGTGGTAATAAAATCGTAACCCTGCCTGTGCTGTCGGTATACGTTGCTGGGACACCAGTGGCTTTTGATAAGTAAGAATGAAAGTAGGCCAGTTAGGCTATCGTGAAGAATTTTACGAGAATTAACCACGATGATTTCCAAGGGGAACCACGTGGAGGTCGATCTGATAGGGTACATTGTTAGCAATGTTCCCCCTCCTTTCCCCTCGTATATATAAATTAAAATTATTATTACTTAGTTTAATTTGTGATGATCCATAAAACAGCAATTTCGCAAATTTATAAATATTAGTTTAATGATAGGTTAAGAGAAATAGAGCTTCAAAATCGACCCCCGTGACTTGAAAGTTAAAATTTCGATTACAAAAAGTCATCCAAATCGATTCAGAATTAGAGAACACATCGTGTAATGCACTTATATATATATATATATATATATATATATATATATATATTTTTTTTTGTTAAATTGTGAACAAATAGGTACCTTTGATGTAACTTATATTTGTTAATATAATGTTTTTTATAAGATTCAAATGCAGGTGTAATTTTTTAAGTTTCAGGATTTAATATGATTTCATGTTCGTGATCATTATAAACGACCGTGTCATAAAGGAAACGTCAGACAAATATGGGTGAACGAAAGCTGTCCCTCTTTACATTTTTCTTACGCGACCGTTCCACTCTCTATACTGAGCGTATTCAATTTTATCGCGGCCACAAATCACCAATTGTCCAGCGCGCCCACCAATTACTACATTTCGCGTACTTTCGCCGGCGCGCAGCCTCCATAAATTACTGGTATGCCGTAAAATTATGATAATAAGTCAGCGTGTCCGTTGATCTGGACTAAATTAACTGTCGACTGACAAATTCATTATACGTTCATATTAACGGCGCCGTTGATATCTCAGGGTTGCAACTTTGTCCGGATTGAAGTCTTCATGCTGTCGTTCGAGTCGTTAATTTTACCTGGAACCACTGATTTCTTTGTTCTATTTATATGTTAGTTTAATCAACTATTTATGAAAATTTTTGTATATATTTTTGTAACATTCAAGAACTCTCTAACGTTTCATTGCTGGAAACTGATCTCTTCCTATACCAAGAGGGTAATAACCTACTATTACCACAATGGTCAGGCGACATTAGGTTTTAGTTTTTTTTTCTTGCAGAGATGTATTGTGCTCTGTTCTTATAGTTGCTAGTGTAGTGTAGTCTTAGTTATGCTTTGTATATTTATATCATTATCCTATTAATAAATTTCAGTAATATTGTTTAAAACATACTCTTTATTTATTATTTATAAATTATGGATGATTATTCTTTGTAATGGATTTTGTCAACTCTTATATTTTATGCCTGATATTTGATATAAAATTTGTACATTTAATTTAAAATTAGACTCAGAGTAAAGACTTATTTTCTTGTCTCATTATTCCATGAGTTTTTGTCTATTGTATAGCATAAAGGTATTACGTCTTCCTTTTTAAGCGAGGTCAAAATAAAGAAGATTATTAGATTGTCTAATTGAACCAGACGGAGACTTTGTACAAAAGTCGTTTGCTTGGGCACCTTTGTCCCATTCGTGTTTCTACCATGAAGTAGCTGTGTTTGCATGGCTGTGTTTCGGTTTAAAGGGTCTGAAATTCACTGCTATAGCAGTGAATTTTCAGGGTACAGAGTAATAACACCTAAATCCTCAGGAATGGCAACGCATAGAGGGTAATATGGGTGAAACTCTATGTCCATGGTACTGCTCATGTCTATAGGCGACGGTTGCCATTTTCCATCAGGTGGGCCGTTAGTGTTTGTCATTCTAAATTGCATAAAAAAATTAATGGCTGTTTGTGCAATATAAGGTGGTCGCCGAATCGACTCGAAAAATTGGGTTTTCCTTCGTATTTGATTCCATTTTCTTTATTTGCGAAGAAAAATCTAATCGTAGAAATGAAATTTTGTGTTTTAAAATGAAATATTTTCAATGTGTTTACGAAACATCTCGTCCTGCATCGACGCGTATTGTAACGATGACAATTGATTTTTTTCTGGTTAATTGTTTCGAAAAATTTTATTTAATTCCGTTACCATTAGTATGCGTGCGTATTGCCAACACTTCAAGGTGATTACTATTATTATCCAATCAATACATCAATTTCCGACCGCCATTCCGTCAACGCGCAAATTGCGGCATGTGTTTCGCCTCCAATTTTTAAATCTACTTTTCAATTATTATACTTTATTTACTGGGGAGCAAAATGTACTCATTGTTGGCATGTACAAATAATGCAAAAGTTAAAGGTCATATGAAATGTGTCGTCATTGTACTCGCAGCTTGTATATATGTTATATTTCCTCAGCCCTGAGTAGGGTAGCTTGTTTGCTTGTACCAAACTGTCAAACTACCAAGTTCAGTTTGTAACTTTTGCAAGTAGACCGTTGAGATTTACCATTAACATTTACGTCTCGGCGTCGACAGACTAGAAATGTTAGAAAAACAACATAATATCTGTTTATATAAGTCAAAGCCCCATTTGGTCTAGTGTTTGAAAACGTATAAATATTATTCCAATTTCTAGGTAGGTTTTACCGAGAACATTGATAAATAAAATATTTTTTGTAGCTACGTTTTGCTACGAATTATTCAGGTTTGCTAGAATAAAACTCTTACAGAGTTAATAATTCTTTAGTAGGTTGTTTTTAATCAATAAAGTTATATCTGTTTGTGGCTAATAAAGTATAGAAATAAATATTTTTACAAGAGTCATTGTATTATGTGATGTTGTCCACGTCTAAAGGAAACGGCTACCAGTTTATCAGGTGGACAGCTTGTAAAAAAATCCAATAAATAAAGAGGAATTATATAAAAAATAACAGGCGCAGTAAACATACCAATAAATCTAAGGCAGTTGCCTACGTGTAAAAATAAATAAATGTTAATATGTGAACATACATTCCTAGTACATTGAGTCATTTCATGTGGTATAAATCGTTTTTCCAGAAATATCTCCAGCCGCTGAAGAGTCCAGAGAATGCGGGCCTGCTGGACGCGTTCCTGGTGGACGAGATCTTCTTCCAGGTGCCCGCCATCCTGAACGTGCATCAAGTGTTCCTGGAGCAGCTGCGATGTCGCCTCGAGCAGTGGGATCTGCAGCAGAAAGTTGGCGACGTGTTTATAGAAGTGGTGAGATTCATACAATGTTACACTTTTTATTTACTTTATGTATCCTGAGACTGAGAGACCCGAATACCAAAGGCCTCTTTTATAATATATAAATTATATTTATTTTTTACTATATTATACTAGTTTTAACTTACGTTCTTTATATTATCTTATGATCTATGATCACCTTGTAAATCATGGCATAGAATCGACTACCTCTTCTTTTCCCGTGAGTGTTTTAAGAGGCGACTAAGGGAGGACGAAGGATGGGCAACAGCGTCCTGTGTAAAACATCTGTAAAAGCCTAACAGCGGTTGCCAACTCCCCTGTCAAGCGTGGCAACTACTGGCAAAACTCCCTTTGTGGGGAAGGATTATGTCCACTAGTGGTCAGTTAACGGCTGAAATAATAATTATTCTATGAACTAGCAACAAACTATTACGCACGAAAAATAGTATTGAAGCGACTAACAATAGATTGAAAAAAAACAGTTTTCAAAAGTCGATTTTTGTAATATTACAAATGGACGATGTCTGTACATGGGAAATATTTAAAGAGAATTAACATAAGGACTTTAAATAGTAGTAATATAAGTCAAAACAATAATTTTTAGAAGTTTTGTCTGTCTGTATGTTAGTTCCGGCGTCATGCAAAAACTACTGCACCAAATTGGATGCGGTTTTTACAGTTGCTTTCCTGAAGGGCTACTTTATAAACTGCTGTATCTATCTACTATCTGGAAGTGGTTTATTTCTATTATTTTTTATTTTTAAAATCAGTGCATTCGAAGTGGCGGGTAAAAAGCTACTTAATAATAAATAAAAAAAATATTAAAAAGAAAAATCTTTAATATTCCAGTTCACAAAACCCACCGTAATGGAGACGTACATGTCGTTCATAAGCAACCTGAAGAAGGCGAAGGAGACCATCAAGTCAGCGGCGGCGTCGCGGCCCGCCTTCGCGCGCTTCCTGGAGGCGATGGCGCGGGACCACAAAGGCAAACTGGCCCTCGACAACTTGCTCATCAAGCCCGTACAGAAGTTCCCCAGTTACAAACTACTCATACAGAGGCTCGTCAAACATACAGGTTTGTGAATTTATAATTTTTATATGTAATCTTATATGTATTCTATACAGGTTTTTATAACCTAGTTCAGACACGGATGTTCAAGCTGATGCAAATGTACAAATGAATTCGTATCTACTTTTACTGTAATTTCCAGTGCTGAGTTTGTTACAATCATGGTTATGCAATAAAGTTATTATTATTATTCTGTTCTAAGGATAAAATTTTTATGTTCGCTTCTAAATCACAATACCAGAGGGAGACTTTGTACAAAAGTCGATTGCTTGGGTACCTCTGTCCCATTCGTGTTTCAACCGTGAAGCGGGTGTGTTTGCATGGCTGTGTTTCGGTTTGAAGGGTGGGATATGGCGTGAATTTACAGGATACAGAGGAATAACACCTGAGTCCTCAGGAATGGCAACGCATGGGGGTATTATGGGCGAAACAGTATGCTCTGTTATGTCCATGGTACTGCTCATGTGTATAGGCGACGGTTACCACTTTCCATCAGGTGGGACGTCAGCTTGTTTGCCATTCTAAGTTGTATAAAAAAAAACAATTGTTTTGATTTTCATGACGTCATTCGTACTCAACCGCAGACTCCTATTATTATTAATATCTAGAATTAAGAAATTATTTTTAAGTACAATATTGGGCCAATTTTGTATTTTTGTTTACATACTGTTTAAAATTTCAAATATTTGTCACCGGACATAATAATATTGTTAATGAACGATTTATTTTTTACAATTTTTGACAAGGAATATTAAAGATTTATTAAAATAATATCTTTAGTAAGTTTGACATATGTATAAAAGCAATAAAATAAAAAAAAAAAAAACAATAACAAAATCAAGTTAACCACAGGTTACAATTGACGATATAGATAAAATTAATGTAATATAAATTCTATATAATAATCCATTTTCTATTCCAGACCAATCACATCCTGACCATAAATTCCTATTGGAGGCTCAGAAAGAGATCCTGGAATTACTAGAATTAATAAACTGCACAGAGAGAGAAAGCTTAGAACTAGAACAGCAACAACAAACACTCAGGGAGCTGGAACAAGTGATCGAGGGCCTGTCGAACCTGGCATCAGCAGACAGAACCTTCTTGCGCCACGAGGCAGTCACCATACCGTCTGCGCAGGGCACAATCAAGGATAGAGCTTTGTTTCTATTCAATGATACGCTGCTAATAACAAGTGTTAAGCGGAGAACTGGCACAATAAAAAAACCCATTCCGTAAGTTATTGTAAATAGCTAATATCAATTAACACAACGTTCATCATCTTATCAGCTCTTAACTGTCCACTGCTGGACATAAGCCTCCCTCTTGGGGGGTTTTGCCTGTAGTTGCCACGCTTGGCAAGTGGATTGGTAACCGCAGTCAGGCTTTAGAGATTTTAAGAGGGACGCTGCTGCCCATCCCTCGCGTTCCCTTAGTCGTCTCTTACCATACAATATCAAAACTTGGTTTATAAGAGACAGGAATTAACGTTATCTTTTATGTAAACTATGATAATTTACGCGAGTTATCTCGACGTTTGAACCAGGTTACACCGGCCGTGGTCATGAGTAGACTGATGTTGTGTTACGTCTCCGTTTCCGATGCAGAAGTTTTTTCTTCTACCCACTCCACTCATTGTCTCACATCAAATTGTGTCCCTACACTGAGGGTTTCTGCGCACAACACTGGCCGTGTGGGGGGGAAGGGATTACTAGTATTACGGACTGTTAATCCCATTACTAGCAATATACCCTGTCAGGTCGACCTCTACGTGGCCCCCCTGGAAACCATCGTGCTGAATTCCAGGCGTATTCATCACGATGGGCTAACTGACCTGCCTTTTCATCCTTACGTATCATCCTTCATTGGTGCCGCGCTAGTGTACACCATTAGCGCAGGCAGGGTTACCATTTCATTATCATCTATCAAAAAAAAAGCACTGGGTCTTTATTCGAAGCATTTACCGACTGCACACTGAATCAGAAGTACGCAACGAGAAAGTTTAAAAGTTAATATCAAAACCGATTGCTATATTTTTTGGATTTTTATATGACGGTAATACTTAAGTTGGAAAATATTTTTATTGCAGAACGTACCAAACTAATATAGCAAGTCAAATGGAAGGTAACAAATATAAACTATTGATGAGAATATCGCTGGCCGACCTCGAAATAGTGAAAGGTAAGGTTTTATTTATATATTGTCATCAAATACGAAAATATATAGAGATATGTATATAATTTATTTACATCTATGCACAAAAATAACGACAGATATTTGTACATACTCGAAAAAACAAATAAAAGAATACTTATACAAAAAAAAAAAAGAAACAAAAGGAGGTAATATAATTTTTCATGAGTGTGCTACAGTAATACAAAATGGTCACAACTCAGTTTATTGCTTCGCTCTCAAAAGAGCATAACACTGATAATCTATTGGCTAAAAACCAAAAGCCAGCCGCTAGATTTCTCGACAAAAAAAATATATAGCCATGTCTATAGGCGACTGTGAACAGAAGTAGATGGAGACGCATTGCGAGGACCTCAATCGCGAAGGAGGGCCTCGTCGACGATCCACTATCTTTATAAAAACCACGACCGCCCTGTCAAGAGTGTACGACTGAAGAGAGAGATAGATGGCGGTTACCATTTTCCATCAGACGGGCCGTTAGCTTATTTGCCATTCTAAGTTAAAGAAAAAATAAAAAATATATGAATTAATTAATAAAATTAGGTGTGTGTCCATTACAATCATTATTCAATATTTTAATCTAAATTTATATATTTATAAATAAGAAATACCATTAACAATGAGATAGTCAGAGGTCACTCTTGAATAAAAATAACTACTTTATAATTAATTCTGTCTTTATTATTACTATTTGACACAAATCGTTTTGTGCACAAATAAATTAACTGACTGCCGAGTGTTTTGTGAGTTCCGCTCAGCAAATAACAACATTCCAACGTTAGAATTATAAAAAGGGACGATTTAAAAGAGCTTGTAAATATATTTGTTTAAATATGATTTGGCGTTCTCTTCCTTTCCAAAAATAATTCAAGGTTGTATTTAAAAAAAAAATTACGGATGTTAATTTTGGCAAAACATTTTATTTTGATTTCAGAACTTACCTACTGAATTTATTTTTATAAATTTTCTATAGGATCAATCTGTAAGTATCTCCTTTCAGATATAAAAGAATTTACCAAATCGGTTTAGAACTGACGAAGTTACGAGGTAACAAACATAAAAAAATACAACTGACTGATTTTTACCAGAGGGAGACTTTGTACAAAAGTCGTTTGCTTGGGTACCTCTGTCCCATTCGTGTTTCAACCGTAAAGCACTTGTGTTTGCATGGCTGTGTTTCGGTTTGAAGAGTTAGATATGGCGTGAATTTACAGGGTACAGAGGAATAACACCTGAGTCTTCAGGAATGGCAACGCATGGGGGGTATCATGTGCGAAACAGTATACTCTGTTATGTTCATGGTACTGCTCATGTCTATAGGTGACGGTTACCTTTCTATCAGGCGGGCCGTCAGTTTGTTTGCCATTCTAAGTTGTATAAAAAGAACTGTTTGAAGTCGGTTGAAAGATAAAATACAGATTATATATTATATATTGAACGTCATTACAATTGTAATCACAGCCATCTTGTTTCTGTGCTGTTCTATGGGGCGGGTGTGGACATTTTGCTTGTCCACTGATCCTTGTCAGCCGTCGCGGCCGGGCTTGTTTTTCTTTGTTCTCGTTGTCGGCCGTCATAGTTCACTTGCCGTAGATAATATAATAAAGGCACTACACGTATGTATGAATATTTAAAGTAGTACCCTGTCTATATTCATATCTAGTACTCTATCACTATACAAGCCGTATATCGTTACATTTCCCGTGGCTATATCGTAATATTAACCTGTAACCTTCATCAAGAAATAAGTTATCAAATATATAAGGAATTTTTTAAATTCGCCTAAGAGTTCCAGAGATTAGCGCGTTAACAAACAAACTTTTTCAATTTATTATATTAGTGTGCAAGAAAACATACGTCTTTACTGAAGTGGATATATTTTGAACCGGCTTCAATGTAATAAAAGTTGCATATAGACGTGGGAGCGGAGCAGTGTTCCCGTAGTTGTAAGTGCGGCGGGTGCGTTGCAGCGAAGGAGGAGAGCGCGCGGCGGCTGGTGGCGGAGGCGGAGGCGGAGGCGCTGCGCGCGGACGTGGCGACGCTGTCGCGCGTGGCGCAGGCGGCGGCGGCGCTGCGCGCGGCGGCGGCGCGCGCGGCGCTCGAGGCGCTGCTGCGCGACCAGCTGGCCGCGCTCGCGCAGCAGCTGGCCGCGCACGCCGCCGCGCACGCGCACCTCGCCTGCCTGCGCCTCGCGCTGCACACCGCGTCAGTACTGCGCACACACCACTACTTACGTATCTTCAAACTGAACCCGTTCCATTATATAATAATTACTTAAATCGATTTAGAAATCTCGGAGAATTTCGAGGGAGCACCTACATATAGTTAAAAAAATACTCGCCAAACACAATATGCTTTTAAAGATCAAAGTCCAATATAAAAAGAGAAATATTGGAAATCTAATGAATATAGAAAAAAATATATTTCCTATTAATATCACTTTTCTTGAAAAAAGTGTGATATCACTTGTAATACACTAATGGAAAAAATTAAAGGATCAAAAAATCAAATCAAATTTTTAAGTGATTTTCAACAGACTTTAATTTGAAAAAAAATCATCGTAGAGACATTTTTAAAAAAGCAAATTGTAGCTCCGAGTGTCAAGTTTTTGGGTCTAAATTCGAAAAAAATTTCATCTCAATTTTTTCAGACAATTTTTAAAAAACCACTGACTAAAAAGTAAAAAAAATTTTTGGTTTTATTTTTACGTATAAGGTATTTAACAATTTTTTTGACATTATCACTATATAGACCAGATAACTTGTTTATTTTATTATTTTTCAAGTTTAGACCCTAAAACTAGACACTTACAGCTACAATTTGCTTTTTTTAAAATGTCTCTACGATGATTTTTCTCCAAGTTACAGCCTGCTGAATATCACCTAAAAATTTGAATTTTTTTGATCCCTTAATTTTTTCCATTAGTGTATTTTGAGGATGATAAGATCAATATGTAGCTTGTGGTTCTTTACGTCTTTTTCTTCTTTTTTTTTTCAGTAATGGACCAGAAAACTTAACGATAATATTCTCGACGCCCGAGAAAAGAAGCAGCTGGGAGGAATTAATAAATGAAACCAAACAAAAATTATGTGAGTAGTATTCGTTGATCTGTAAAAACTACAGACGCTTACGGACTTCTTATTTGTTTTTAGCTGTTGTAAATTTATTTCAGTGCTAAGAAGGATTATTGTACCTTTCAGGCATATACGGACAAGAGAGGCCCGCCCCCGAGTTTCTGTCGCCGGTTCCGATCCGCAAGACGCGGGCAGGCCTGCAGTTCACCTGCGCCGCCCCCACGCTACCTCCTAAGGGGCAATCGCCTGATGTTTGGGTAAGAGGGGCTCTAGAGCATATGAGAGATCCTGTAAATTAATCAAAGTTGGTTATTCTTGATTAGGGGTGTTCGGATGGTTTGATTTTTCAAAATGTTCAAATTTTAACTAGTTTATTATGGTAACCGGAGATTCCAATACAGACGCTGTTCAGTTGTCTTAACTTTTGTTAATGAAATAAACTAGGAGTGTGTGTAGCGAGGAGTAACGAGGTGTGCGGTGTGCGGTGTGCGGTGCGCAGGTGTGCAACAGCGACGGGTACGTGGGGCAGGTGTGCGTGCTGACGCTGGCGGGGCGGCCGCAGGTGTCGTCGTGCAACGGCGTCTGCAACGCGCGCATCCTCTGCGTGGCCTGCGTGCCCGCCGCGCCCCCCGCCGCCTCCACCGCCTCCACCGCCGCCGCCGCCGCCGCCGCCGCCGCCGCCGCCGCCGTCGCCGCGTCCGCCGCGGACTCGCCGCAGCTCTTGACGTAAGCTGTTGTTCTCTAAGAGCTCAATACACGCAAAGCTCTTCCTTAAGAGGATAGATGGTAAACTAACAGTTGGCCGGGATTCAAGGTCCCAATGAGAGAGTTCGGCGTACTATGCAGGTAGTTTCTAAGAAAACCGCTTTTTGTATCTTTCCCGGGCGTGAGTTGCTTGTTTTGTTAATGTGTACTCTGTCCAAATTGTACGCAATCAAATTGCAAAGCATTACTCAATTGTAAACTTAAGTAGTTGTTACATGTATCAACGTCCGTTGTATGTTTATTGCAGGAGTACGAGCTCGCTGAACAGCATCAGTTCAGTGAAGCCCGGCATTAGTATATCGGACCCTGACGATAGCTGTAAGAATATTCGACTCGACAGGTACGACTGCACTTTTAATAGTTTCTCACCTACTTGGTATAGTTAATAAAGGAACTCAAAATTAAAATACAGTAGAAGTAAAAGTACAGTATAAATAACTACTTTTATTAATTAATTTCGGTAAAGATTTGAAGTAAATGACGTTAAGTTTATGAAGTCAGGTGGGAAACAAAAAGTAGTTATTGTCATTTAAAAGGAGAGGCTTAGTGAAGTTCATCTGAAAGTCGTAATGAGGTTTACTTAATGTATATTTTCAGCTCATCATCAAGTGATGATGACGACGACGGCTCCTCAACTAGTGAGAACCAAGACGCCCAGTCGGAGCGAAGTCAGGAGTGCTCGAGACTGCACTCCAGTTTTACAGCGAGCGTCGGTTCCGGGGGCGCAGCGAATACGGCTGCAGTCGCAGCGGCAGGAGCGGCAGCGGGCGCGGCAGCGGGCGCGGCAGCGGGCGCGGCGGCGGGAGCGGCAGCGGGGCGGCGGCGGGAGCGGCGGCGGGCGGCGGGCGGGGGCTGGTGCCCGCGCACAGCAAGAGCCTCAGCTCCCCGCACACGGGGCACAATATACAAGTGCATCCTGTCATGAAGTCCAGTTCTAATCCAGCTGTGGATAAGCAAGCCATGGGTATTACTTCGGGTAAGTTTTTCCTAGCTAGTGTCAACATATTTTCGTTTGTAAATATGTACCTAAGAATAAAAGAGATGAAGCACTATAATCAATAGTGAGAATGTATTACTAGGTTTCCAGGGGGAACCACGAGGAGGTCGACCTGACAGGGTATATTACTAGTAATGGAGTTAATTGACCCCATTACTAACAATCCCTTTCCCCCCTGAAGTGTATGATAAGATTACATAAATATATTCCTTTATTTATCTCTATGAACAATATAGCATGAATAGCTACAATAAGTTTTTTTTTGTGTACATTTGTGTAACTGCAAATCTATTACATCCGATTACTCACACAAAACCTAGAAATATAGTTTTAAGTTTAGAAATAAATATGCACTATATACTACACTTCTTCTCTATTTTAACGCTTCTTAGTATCCGGCCGAGCACTAGGTAATAAACTTAATATAATATTATATACTTACTTGTAAAGTGCATGCCTGCATGTGAAGTACAGTAGCACTACAAATATCTGTCTTATCGAACAATGTTGTTTACTTATGTATAAACGAGTATTTACATTTTTACGTTAGCGGGCTTTATAACCACCTGTTTACATTTATTGGGCAAATAAGTGGTAAATATTATAATTATCACTGAATAGATTTTTTTTGTTTCTTTAAATAATATTAGCGTTTGTAGTGTGGGTCTAAAGCAGTGGAAAAATGAAGCTTCTAAATCGACGCAATCAAAAGATAAGGCCGTTTATGTTCCATTTATATCGCATATTTTGACATTCGCAAAGGGAATCAAAACCTATAAGGTACTTTCCGTTGACCTAGAATCATGAAATTTAACAAGAAGCAATGCCATGTAGCACAAGTAAAGGAAAAAATATAAAAAGCATAAATTTGAAGTTATTTCACAAAAAAATTTAACTTGTTGATTTTGTGCGGAACCCTCGTTTCTCGAGTCCGAATCGCACTTGATCGCCTTTTTTACTATTGTTCTTAAAATTACCTTTAAAAATAACTCGTATTCATACTTGACGAATCTATTAAAGAATGCATACTAAACACGAATATTTGAAGCCTATGAAGAAATCTGCGCGACGTAATTTATAAGACAATCGCAAACCTTCTTCAGGTACATTGTCATCACCGGCGAGCCGGCAATCGTCAGAGGACAGCGGCACGTCTGCAAACCAGCCGACCATGTGGCTGGGCACCGAGGACGGCTGCATCCACGTCTATAACTGTCTGGACAACATCCGCATCAAGAAGAACAAGATCAAGTTACAGCACAACTCTGGCGTGCATTCCATCGTGTGAGTGACAACTTCTCGATTGATATTAGACTTCTGAACACAATAGAATCAAATAAGTCTGTTGGTGGATGATAGTTGGTAACTGTAGCTCGAAGTGGTCTAGGTCTGCATTACCAACCCTGAATAAATCTTATTGAAGAACAGTGTGTAATAGTCTTCAAGAAGAACTTTAGGAAGCTCAATATACAACCCGAGTCTCACATAACCGAAATGTTGGGTGTACTACCAGTTTGTCTATTAATCCTGTCAGTATGAAAAACATCTTTTCTATTTCAGATACATGGAGGGCAAAGTGTTCGTTGCTCTGGGCAATGGAGATCTCGTCGTATATAGCAGAGATATCGGTTAGTACCCTTACAATATATTGTACGTAAGTACCATACATATACTATAAACTTTTTTGCGTAATTAGATTGGGTTGTTTACTTCCATAGTTATGTTATATTGAGTATACATTAAGTGTTCACGTAATATACCAATCACTGCATGGGGGATAATGTAAATTGGACTCTATTTTCTGCGTTTAGCGTCTCATTTGGGCCGCTGTGCATATGAGTCGTGGCTAGTACAGTCAACCCAGCTCCGTCCAAAAGCACAGAAGCTTCCTGGGATCTTCACAAGCTTCACAGAGCGACCTCATCGTTCCAAGGATTTCTAAATGATGAACGATTGATGGGGGATCTGAAAGGGGCTTCGAGATTATTCAAGCGATGAGTAATGCTGGATATCGGCGTATGCAGACATCTATCAACACATTTTATTACTCTGATAATGAGGACGAAGATAATGATCAAGAAACTGCAGCCGAAACTAGCCAAACCATAACAACCCAAGTTGAGCCTAATCAGCCATCACAACCACCACAGCCCGCATCAACTAATCATCAATATGTAACAACTTATCAACGGCAACCCGTTGGACCAACAAACACATAAACACTTACCAAAAAACCCATCTCCTACCTCAAAACTAAAACCCACACTTAAAATTTACTTTTCACATCCACAAATTAAGTCAGAAAAACACAAATACAAACTCACACACACACAACTCACAATAACAAACATATAAACACTCAACAAAAAACCCTTCTCTCTCCCCAAACTCCTACAACTCATTTCCCAAATTCCAAATCAAACCCATAATATAATCCCAAAAACCACACTCATTTCCTAAATTCACAAACTAAATCATAATAATATAAACACAAACTCACATACACACAACTCACAAAAAAAATCGTTGATGGGTCACAGCTTCACATTTGCATGGGGGATAGTAACTGAAGTTCGTTTAAGAAAAGCTACATATAGTAAACTTTTAGGGCCGTGCAGAGATGTTGCTAAAATTTGTTCAGATTTTCCTAATTCATGGGGAGTGAACGGATAGCAGGCAGTTCAGGAGCCGATTAAAGGATATGACGCGTGGTTGCCGGCAGAGGGCGCGTGGGCGGAGCGCGCGCGCGTGGCGCTGGGCGGCGGCGCGGCGGCCGGCATGCTGCGCTGGGCGGGCCGCCTGTGGTGCGCCGCGCACGCCTGCATCAAGATCGTCGACCCGCACACGCTGCAGGTACGCCTCTCTCCACTCTCCACTCTCCACTCTCCACTCTCCAGGCCGTCGCTCTGCTCTTAGCCGACTCTTCTTCCTCGTCAGGTGGACGAAACATTCCAAATAAGTTGCGAGTCGAAGCCGATCAGCCACATGGCGGTCTCCGGTGGCGCCATCTGGCTGTCGCTGCACAACGCGGCGGTGCTGCGCTGCTACAGCGCCGCGAGCCGCGAGATGCTCGCCGAGATCAACATCACCCCCCACGTCACCAAGATGCTGCACGGTACGTATTAAACCTGGGACAAGTTGTCCGAATGGGTAAGTCCAACTTCGACCGAGAGGTCAATCGACGAATCCAAATCGGCTGGGCAGCGTTCGGGAAACTACGCCACATCTTTTCATTCAAAATATCTCAGAATTTGAAGACGAAGGTCTTTAATCAGCACGTGCTGCTAGTGATGACTAATGGAACCGAAACGTGGTCCTATATAACTGTCCATATGCAAAAGCTACAAGTTACTCAGCGGGGTATGGAGAGGGCTATGCTCGGAGTCTCTGCGTGACAGAATTCAAAACGAGGATATTTGCAAAAGAACCAAAATAACCGACATAGCCCGAAGGATAAGCAAGCTGAAGTGACAATGGGCTGGTCACATAGCGCGTAGAATCGATAACCGATGTGGAAGAAAGGTTCTTGAGTACCGACCGCGTATAGGCAAACGCAGTGTAGGACGACCCCCACTAGATGGAGTGACGACCTGAAATGCGATGCAGCGAGTCAGTGGGGATGCAGGTGGCTCAGAACTGTTCTTTATGGCAGTGTATGGGGGAGGCTTACGTCCAGCAGTGGACGGATGATGACTGCAATGATGATATAATTGTGACGCGGCGACAGCGGAGAGTGTAGTGTGTGAGAGTGTGTGTTGCGCGCGCAGGCTGCGACGACATCATCCGGCAGCACAAGGCGGCGTGCCTGCGCGTGACGGCGCTGCTGGCGCACGGCGCGGCGCTGTGGGTGGGCACGAGCGCCGGCGTGCTGCTCACCGCGCCGCTGCGGCACTCGCCCGACCCCCGCACGGGCGCCTTCACCGTGCCCGCGCTCACCGGTACCTACTCCTCGCCTCCTTCCTTCAATTTCACTTTTTCACGTTTTTACTGTTTATAACATACTCAAATATTCTTCATAATAATAAAATGTAAATTCCTCTTTTGAATTTTTTGTCTTCCCCTTTAATATTCTTGGGAGTAAAGTTCAGAGACTTTAATGTCACCCACTCCAAAAATTATTTGTAGCGTAATTTGTATTATTTTGTATTTCTAACGTCTGCAGTTTCGTTCTTTATAATAATGCTCATGATTAATGTCACAATTGCAGGAATTCCTTACGGACACACAGGGCATGTTAGATTTCTGACTATAGTCGAAAATCCAGTTCCTCCTAAGCAGCCTGCACAGAAATCGACGCAGCCGTCACTCAAGACGAAAGCTCTAAGTCGCCGGTCTGCCAACGCCGAGAAATTGCAGAAGCAAGTGGAATCTAACCAGAACAATAAGGAAACCCTCATCATCTCCGGCGGAGACGGCTACGAGGACTTTAGAAGTTCGACGAACACGGAGGACGCAGGCAGGGAGGATTCTACGAATCATTTGCTTCTGTGGAGAGTGTGAAGCGGCCTGCAAGCCTACAGGGTTCTAACTTAGGAAGCTTTCGACCGGGGGGCCTCTCGGAGGCCTGCTCTGGACGTCGTGCGACAGGCCGCGCTGGTGGCGCCGCGCCGCGACGGAAGCGTCAAGTTATTTTTAAATGTTATCCTTGAATGTGAATGTTAGTATTATTCCAACTTTCATTTTTACATAAACGTTGATGTATGCTGATGGTTAAAATTATAATAAAATTATGTGTTTCCCGCTTGTGAGCGTGATTGAGATTATTAACTGTTAGTTAGGGCATGAAATGTCAAATATCACCGTACATTTATAAATTATATCGAAAATTTTGAGATTTATTTTAACATAGTACAGTATTATTGAAAGTAAATAGTTAATTAATGGCCGCGCAAGTCACGGCCACTCATGTATCGGGTATATTTTTTACGACGTTGTGGACCTCTTTTTGAACAATTTACCATGTGAATCATATCAAGTAAATGCTGTATATGTAGTAAACTGTATATTGAACTAAGTATTAAAATATTGTGTGCCTAAAATAAATTTCATCATCAGTCATTGACAAATTTACTATAATAAAATGTTTTGGCAATCATCTACGAGTCACAATATATTCATATTTGCATCTGTACTCGTATTGAGGGACATTGTCAAATATTGAATGTACAATTAATCTACATTGCATATAACTAGATACTGTAAATGTCAATATTGTGAAACATATTGCCGGTAGATAAATACAATTAATTACCTAATTAGAAAATGTTCCGATCTGTTTAGTCTTGTATTAGTGTTGAGAGGCGCGCTCCCTGGTGGAAGAGAAATTTGAAACTAAAATGTGTGATTGCTCAAAATCTGAACAATGTTACCTGTATTCCCATACTGTAAGAGCAACAAATTTTTAAATAGTGAGTATATTATACTGTGGATGATGTATCCTATATTTATATCAGTCGAGAAATAAAAGGACGTCGCACTAATGTTTTGTTATTGCTTCCAATCTTTCAAAATATTCCTTATTTTGACCTTCAACGATGGAAATAAAACTTGGTCTCATCGTGACAAATTTGTGGCGATGGTTTCCAGAGGAGACCACGTGAAGATTGATCTCACATAGTTTATTGGCAATATACATGGATAGCAACTGAGAGTTTTTATGGATGATAATAGTATGGTAACTCCGCCTGTACTATCGGTATACGCTGGTGGGGCACCAGTAATAGATATTAGATGAGGATGAAAGCAGGTCAGTTAGCCCATTGTAACGAATTCCATAAGAATTAACCATGATGGCTTCCAGGGGAAACCGCGTGGAGATCGATTTGATAAGGTATATTGCTAGCAATGGGGCTTATGGATTCCACTATTAACAATTATTTTCCCCCCAGCAACGGAGATTAGGGACTCCATTCTTCAACAATTTCTGTTCTCTCCCCTCAGTGGGGATCTACTTTTCTTTTTAATGGGTAAAAATGGTAACCCCAGCTGCGCTATCGGTATACGCTGGCAGGGCAGCAGTGAGGGAAGATAGATGAAGAAAAAAGCAAGTTAGTTGGCCTATCGTTGCGAATTCAACAAGAATTAACCATGATGGTTTCCAGGAAGCGCATGGTGGTCGACCTGATAGTATGCTAGATCCCTTTTTCCTAACAATTCCTCTCAGTAGGTACTTACTAAGATCTAAAATCTAATATATTTACGTATGTATATAAATTAAATCTTCCGGACTGTATTTAGACATCTTAAAAAATGCGATAGTTGCTTAAATAATATGTAAAGATTATTACAATTCCTATAACATGTAACTACAAATATATCTCATATAATCATCCTGTATCTGTATAAATTGCTCAAAAGGCAAATAGATAGATAGATAGATAGATAGACAATTTATTTACATTACTTACAGCACACAAATTACAATAAAAAAAAAAAAAACATACTCATAATACACAGCAAAAGTGACAAATAAAAATAAAAAAAGCACAAATAAAAAAAAAATACAAAAACAAAATACATAATCTAACAATCTCCTTTGTTAACATTCCTTCATGCGTGTGCCATAGTAACACAAAATGGTCACAGCTCAGTTTATTGCTTTGCCCTTAAAAGAGCAAAACACTGATATACAATATAAATATACAATTTTATATCTTAGTAATCGTGTATGCTGTAGTGTTATTCGGTAAGCATCACCGAAACTCGATAGCTGAATCCGGAGTGAAATTATATCATGGCATTCTGTAAAACTCGATTGCGACTGCAGCGCCACAACGATGAGTTCGGTGGCGGGATTAAACATTCAATAGTGATATTTTGACGTTTGGTGCAGTCTACTGTAAAATTGATAAGTGAAAACCATTCTTCAGTTCACTTATGAAATTTAATAAACGAAATATGTATCTAAAAAAAAAAGAGAGAAATAAATAAAATAATTAAATATTACATTAAAACCAACGAAATAAACCATATCACCTTCTAATTTGTCAGTGGCGACATCTAGTATTGTATAGAGATGAGATTGAACATTAACAATCTATAATAAAATTATAACATGTCTGCACATGGGAGACATTTAAGAAAAAAATATATGAATGACTTAATAGTAATAGTTTCGAAACAATAGTTTTTGGATTTCTATTTATTTCATTGGTTTTCCTATTTCTGAAACCCACGCGTACGAAGTAGCATTTAAAAAGCTAGTCTACAATATAAGTTGGACAAGAAAAATGCAATCGATAAATTGTTACTTTATTTAATTTTTTCACATATAAACATTATAATCTATTTCTATTTAATTAGGACATAACAATATAAATAATTATTCTCTTTATATTTAAAATCGATTAAATATTGGTGGTAGACTTATGTTGACTCTTTGGGAAGCTAATTGCATTTTATATTAATTTCATTGATAAAATCCTCCAAGTGATCATCGGTGTTCGTTTCCTCTGATTTTTTCCCTCTGCTCACATAATATGGATCAATCTGTAGCTGAGCTGCCAATTTCTTTAATATTGTGCGCCTGTCTCTGTCGTTATCATCCAATTCCCTTTTTGTTTTATTGCCGCCATTTTTTATCGATATTAATTCAATAGTAGAACAGATAAGTTCCTTGGCTTTTTGGAATTTGTCATGCAAATCAGTCGAGTTACTGCCTTTAATATTTTCTAAATCCTTTTTACCTCTGGCTATGTAGTACGGGTCATTTCGTACTGATTTAACTATTTCCTCGATAGCACCACGTCTATCTCTTTCTGTTTGGGATAGATCATATTTAGTAGAATATTTTTTACCCCTTGAAATAAAGTAGGGATCGTCCTCTGTAGAAGAACGACTACTTCTCTCAACTATAATATAATGTGGTTCTTCTGCATACATTTGGTTATCATGCACTGTACCAGGTGCGGATCCTTTCAAGTCAATTGTGGGCCTAGTATTGTACATATTCGGTAAATGTGGTAGTCGAGCACTAACAGTTTCACTATACATATTTTTCAACCTACTATCTCGTGATCTATTAGCCCAAAATGAAGGTTGTGAATTACTACTTTTTAATCTCGATAGATTTTCTATATTTCCTTGTACATCTTCCATAGCATCCAAAAGAGATTCTTCTATTTCCTGTTTTCCTCGACCATGATTACCCCAAAAAGTGTCAGAAACTCTCCTGCCACGGTTACCCCAAAATGGTTCCGATTCTTGTCTTCTTCCTCGATTGCCCCAAAATGGTTCAGAATCTTTTCTACGACCTCTGTTACCCCAAAACGGCTCACTTTCTTCTCTTCTACCCCGATTAGCCCAGAACGGCTCCGTCGTGTCTCTTCTTCCACGATTTCCCCAAAAAGGAGTATCTTGACGTCTACCTCTATTACCCCAGAATGGTTCATCGTCTCGTCTGCCTCTATTGCCCCAAAATGGAGATTCATCCTGTCGTCGACCTCTGGTACCCCAAAATGGCTCATCGTCTTGTTTCTTACCTCTGTTTCCCCAGAAGGGACCCGGAGACAAATCTTCACTTTCTTCGTTACTACGCCTACCACGGTTTCCCCAAAACGGTTCTTCTATATCTTCTCTTCTATACTTTACATTTTCATTTACTTCATCATATCTATCATTAGATGTAAAACAAGTTTTACAGTATTTGTTAGGAAAGGCAGGATGACTGCTGAAATCTGGAATTGGATTTTCAATGTCATATATTTTATCTTGAGTAGGAGCGTAACGCTTACCTCTATTCTTCCAAAATGGAGATTCTTTCATGAGTTTATTTTCATAATCTTCTGCTAGTTTGTAGTTATTGTAATATTTCTGTCCTCCATTCAATTTCTTTGCATTCCTTTCATCCTCATCGTAAAGTGACCTTTTCATGCGGTCATTTAGTCGGACGTTGTTGTGTTTGGCTTGGCTGAGTTTTGCTATCTTTGCCTTATTAGAACCATTACCAAAAACAATATTTGTCGATATAATTAATAGAAAGAGAAGATATATATACAGCTTTTTACGCATCTTGATGCTATCTGGAATTAGTAAAAAAATATTAGTTTATATAGCATTTTTTTAATATGAGTAAGTAAAAAATAACAGCTCGATGTTTTTTAAGAAGTGATGAAGAATTTTTATTATTTCATTTGGTAACAAGTAATTTTATCCATCTGTAAGACTGTTCGGTGCATTGATAACTGACACCAAACAATGACGTCAAACTCATCGAGTTATATTGATGCGTTTGACCCAAAAACGTCAGTGCCGTGTCCGTCACCGTAACGTGCATTCATTAATATAACATTAAAAACATTTATTTAACATTTAAGAACTTTATTATTTGAAGTTCCCACCACCGCAACCCTACTTAACCCAACAAAGACCGAGGCACAATCAATGTGCCAATATAAAAAATAATCTAATGTCGTTTTCTATCCTAAATAGTCCATATAAACAAAATATTAATACAAATATAACATATAATACACGGTATGTTCCTACCAATTATTATTTAGTACTATTAGTACAGATATCAGTTGTTCTTTTTTTGAGATCATTTTTACTTTTTGGTAATATAACTTATTTAAAAAAAAAAAAAAAAAATTGATCTCCTTATTAATTAAATTTGGTATTCCAGACGAACTTTTAATTTTGTTTTGTTATACTTGTTTCTTATTTGGTTTTTATGATAAAAATATATAAATAATAAAAATAAAAAAAAAAAATAAAATAAACACTAGTTTTAAGAAATGAGTTACTTTATTTAACATAACATATACATACAATGAAAAAGGACATATCTTGGTCAGAAAACATATCCTTGTTACGAGGATGAAATTTTTAAGTATTACTTTTTAAAACTGAAATGAAAATAATAAAAGTAAATAAATAATAATTAAATAATTAAAAGTTGGACTTACATTTTGTAGATGTAGCTTCCAAATATCATATTTTTACTGCAACCGTCGCTAATGTGTTGTGTATACTGATAGCGAGGATGTGACTTTGTTTCTGATCCCTGAAGCAGCCTGCTGCAGCTTTTATAAAGGCCTGGCGAGTAGGCGTGCTCCCTAGGGCTGTCACAACGGATTCCATTTGTTGTTTTTTTGTTTGTTCTGTAATCCTAGTGGGAGTCAGTGGTTGTTATTAAATTAAAATCACGCTCGGTGCGTATTGCCTCCGACTTGTGTCACGGGACCCGTGTAAAGGGGCAGCTCTTGCGACAATCCGGAGATTTCATATAGGAAATAGTTTTATTGGTATATAAAGCGTCATCGTTCATTTTTTTCTTCCATAGGACGATGTAAGAGATAATACAGAATAATCCTGCAAAAGAAGAAAAATTAGAAATATTATGCAAACGTTCTCTTGGGATTTTGGTTCATTAAAGTAGTACTTATACTTATTATGCTAATCAAAGATATGGTTCATCTATTTTAAATACTCAATCGGGACTTAAAATATGTGTAAACGACGTGAAAGTATAGAATTAACTGTGGTTTATCTATTTACCAAATATCATAAAATTCTTAAAGTGATTAAATAACAAATTTCTAAAGTTTTTTTTTAAATTTTTTAGAATTGTATTTATAGCTAGAGCATTATGATCAACATGGTCCTCAACGCCCGACACCTGAAATCCAACGGGGTCACATGTGCCCTGTTTCTCGACGTAGCGAAGGCCTTTGACAAAGTCTGGCACAGCGGCTTGATTTTCAAACTGCACAAGATGGGAGTGAGGCTCGTGCACATCATACGAGCCTTCTTGTCCAATAGGTCATATCGCTATCGCGTCAATGGAGTGCGTTCCAGCGCACGACCGATTAGAGCCGGCGTCCCTCAAGGCGCTGTCCTCTCCCCCACCCTCTTCTCGTTGTACACCAACGACATCCCGCGTCAGCCCCGAGTGCAAATCGCCCTCTTTGCTGATGATACAGCCCTATATGTGGACAGCACGTCGGCCGCCTGTGCAGCCAACAGGCTTCAACGGGCGGTGGACGAGCTGGCCTACTGGTTCAGAAAATGGCGCATCGAAGTCAACCCAGATAAAAGCGCCGCCGTGCTTTTCACGGTCAAAAGAAAACCATCCCATCCCGCCTCTATTCAGCTGTTTGGCACGCCCGTCCCCTGGACGAACGAAGCCAAATACCTAGGCGTGACACTAGATTCCAAGTTGAGTTTCGCATCTCATCTTAAGCGCGTCCGAGGCCTGGCCAATTTTATACTGGGACGCCTCCATCCCTTTATTAACAAGCGCAGCCAATTGTCGCTTAACGCAAAGCTGACGCTCTATAAAGCATGTATAAGACCGGTGATGACGTACGCTAGTGTCGTCTTCGCCCACGCCCTTCCTTCATTACTTCACCCCCTTCAGGTGGTGCAAAATAAATTTCTGCGACGGGCCACGGGCGCCCCGTGGTACGTGCGCAACGTGGATCTACACCGCGACCTCAAAATACCCACTATAAGGCAATTTATGAAGCAAGCGTCTCGACGCTACTTTGCCTCAGCCGAGTCCCATTCAAATCCGCTCATAGTAAGAGCGGTCAAATACAAACCCCCCATAGAGAACGTCGCTCCAAAACGTCGTCGCCCGAGGCACGCACTCTTGGACCCCGATGATTCAACTACGACGGCAAACGCGTCTCCCTCCCTCCCTTACCGCGGAATCTTCGACAAGAGCCCCTACAAACACACCCACACATCGCACACATATTCGCGACACACGGTCCGCGCGCGATCAGGTTTGCGCCCGAGCGCATAACAACCGCGTCGCAATCTCACCCACCCAGACGTACCGACCCTTCGCCGTCCCTCGACGGGGGTCGAAGTGCGGTGGCCTAAGCCGAGGCCGAGCCACTCTGGCGCCCTTAGGCGCACACACACACCGCAGTCCATAAGAAAGAGTCGACACCTCTGTCGCTCCCCTCTCGCGGGCTTGGAGTGCCATCAGCACTCGCCCCTGCATTCGCGTCCGGTGAAGCTGTAAAGGCCACACACGGCCAACAGCAAACACATTCAGAAAAAAAAAAAAAAAAAAGATCAACATGGTGATAGGCAATAATTGGGAGATCTTTGACTAGTACCGATATTTTTAGTAAGGTAGATGTTTCCAGGAATTTCAGATGTACTGAATTCCTTACAGTCCTCACATACAACCCTATTTAGTTATATGGAAATTTTGGTCTGAAATTCAATGAATATGTTATTGAAATTTGTGCTTTTGTAGAGAACACGATGATATTGATCTTGATCTTGACCTCTGATGTTACTGACTGAAGACGCATTATCAATCAGAAGGGGCGGAACAGTTTGGAATATGTAGATATTTTGGGTGTTCACTTAATTTCTTCATGTGAATTATGAGCTCAACTTTATTAAATAAAAACGAAAATAATGATCGGAAATAAATACGATGACAATTCAATGAAATCAGGGATAAAGTACAAGACGATCTGAACAGCTTTTAGAAGAATTCGGCGAGCTTTTTCCTCATCTTTACTACGAAGTTTAAAGACAAAAGTATATTACCTATCATACGAGTAATTATAAATATAATAGTGCAGATATATAATCTGTACTGCTGATATGACTAGGTCACCCAGAGAACAATGGGAAGACCTATACTTGGCTCGAGCTTATATGAAAGATCGAATCCCAAGTGGAAATAATTCCCAAAAGGAACAAAATATTTGATATAAACCATTAAGTAAACAGTGAATAAGTAATAACTATCGCCATCGACAAGGAGTTCACCCTCATACCTTACAGCCTAAATGGTCGCGTACAACGCGGTTTCAAAGATGTTTTCTCCCACGAACACTCAGGTTATGGAATGAGCTCCCTACCGAGGTTTTCCCGAGAGACTACAGCATGGAGTTCTTCAAAAGGGGGGGTAAAGAGGTTCTTCAGGGTAGGCAACGTGCGCGTTATACCTCTGGTATTGTAGGCGTTCATAGGCTATGGTAACCGCTTACCATCAGGTGGGCCGTATGCTTGTTTGCCACCTCAGTGGTATAAAAAAAAAACTAAATTCGAATCAGTAATCCACGAATCAGCAATTGTAGTCTGAGACGATTTGCGGTTTCATAGAAGCAATACGTAGAGTGGTAAAAGGTTATTGGAAGGTTTATGTCCAGTAATAGACAAGACAAGGACTACAGTGGGAAATAACAGCGTCCCACTCATATATTGCAATTATATGAAAAATTTATTTAAACAATTTTCTCAACAGATAACAACATTCGGAAATACGCGGTTGAATCATAAAAATATTATGATTTAAGACTTGTAAACAAACTTAAATACAGATTACATGTTTCTATTTCTATACGCGACCGAAATAAGAGCACTGCGATGTATCTGAGGCTGGGCTGGGCTGGGCTGGGCAAACATAGGAATACAGTGTCGACGGAAACATGACAGAGATTAATAATAGTTCGGGCATGTGGAAAGAATGTCGGGTGATACAACGACGGGACAGGTATGTACATATAGGTACAAACAAGTCAAAGGTACACGCAGCGGGAGAGGTAGACCACTCATGTAGTTGGAGATGCGGAGAGACGGTGAGTGAGCCTACTGTTTGGCGTATTTTATTATTCATTCATTTATATATATATATAAATGAGCTACAATTTAAAAGACTGAGACGGAAAAGTGATTCCCTCTAGAAATCGGATACCACACTCGAGTGAAGCCTTGGGAAAAAGCCAGTAGGTACTGTATAAGTTTCTAGGGGATTTGTTTCAGTTCCTCATGGAACCCTGTCCTGTGGCCATCATATGTAAAAGTGCTCTAATCTTGCTTGCGCTAACTGTATACACTGGTGGGACACCAGTGAGGGGTGATAGATGAGGATGAAAAGACAGGTCAGTTAGCCCATCGTGATGAAATACACTAGAAATCAGCACGATGGTTTTCAAGGCGGACTATGTGGAAGTCGACCCGACCTGGTATATTACTAGCAATGGAACTGGCAGTCTGATTACTAGCAATCCCTTCCCCCTCTATCATCAGGTTAGGTTAAATTAATTTCTCGCACTATCCGAAATACGAAGATGCTTCGTGTTAAGTCGGTGATGGTGCGGTGCGGAGAGGCGCTGGAGCGCGACACGAGCCGGCGGACGAGAGTGACGGCCGCGGACGTGGACGTGGACGTGGAGACGCGCTCGGGACATTCATTTCGTACGATGTTTAGATTAGGGCAGGCTCACACGGCGGCGCGCCACTTAGCGGACCACGGTTGGAATCATTAAAAAATAAACTAGAATAAAATTGTATTCCACAAAAAACCGACTTCAATGGTGGCAAAATGGGTTATATTGATTTAAAAATTAAACTGTTGAACCGATTTTGATAAAATTTCTATGGGGCCAATCTATGTACTTTTAAATAAAAAGAAGTTTCGAAAGCGATTTAGAAAACTGATCGAGTTATGAGGTAACAATCATAAAAAAGACAACACAACCGAATTGAGATCCTTATTATTTTTGGAATATTTACAGATTGTAAGTATTACTTTTTGATATAAAAAATTCAAATAGGTTTATAACTGATAGAATTATGAAGAAATAAACGTAAAAAACACAATCGAATAGAGAACTTCCTTGTATTTGAATTCGGTTGATACATTTTCTTTATATATAGTCGTTCATAATAATTCTATATTTGTAACGATGGATGATTATTACTATTTCATACAAAAACTATTGAATGGATTTGAATGAAATTTAATATACAGGTAGGTTTAATCCTATGTACGTAGGATACTTTATATATTATTACATGCAGGTGACGCCGCGGGATCCAGCTAGCATAATATATATAGTGGAAGAATTTGTTGGACGGTTTATTTGAATGCGCTAACCTCTGGAACTATCAGTTGTATTTTTTGTATTTGATTAATTTTTCGAGAAAGGAAGCCAGAAAGAAGATACAGCGAGATATAAAGTAAGAATCCACTATGCAAAAAAATATCGCTGCATCGTGATAAATTTAATATGA